ACAGAGAAAAAGAGTGAGAGAGAGCGTGAGGGACAGCAGGTGGATGTGGTTCAGTGAGCTGGAAGCATGGCTGGAGCAAGGAGCTCCTCACATCACACAGCACCACGTCTGTAGGGTAGACTGACTTTCTCGGTCTCTCGTGGTCTGGTTCAGTCAAGGACAGCAGTATGATGACACAACCCACCGCAGAGGGAGAAGAGAACAGGAGCTGCTCTCACTGACCCCCACCCCCACACAGACAGACACATATAACACACAAACACTCTTACATTTACATTTACGTCATTTAGCAGACGCTCTTATCCAGAGCGACTTACAGTTAGTGCATACAATATTATTTTTATTTTTTTCATACTGGCCCCCCATGGGAATCGAACCCACAACCCTGGCATTGCAAACGCCATGCTCTACCAACTGAGCTACCTCCCTGCTGGCCATTCCCTCCCCTACCCTGGACGACGCTGGGCCAATTGGTCTCCCGGTTGCGGCCGGCTACAGCAGAGCCTGGATTTGAACCAGGATCTCTAGTGGCACAGCTAGCACTGCGATGCAGTGCCTTAGACCACTGCACCACTCGGGAGGTTATGCATGCATGCACACGCGAACACAACTTACCTTGAAACATAGCACTCATCTACAGACATCCAAGTATCTAGTTGACCTCTGTCTTGATTTCTCTTTCAGTGTGGTCTGGTCTGATGCCTTCTTTGTATGTTATGATTACAGTTCATCTGCACATTAAACATCACACAATATTGTTTATCATTGGACGTCCTAGAATTTATTACTCCCTGGGACCAATGGTAATCTCATCAGATAGGAGGGAGTTTTTTCCCAGGAATACTTTTTGGGCTTTCAACAACCACTCAATTACTTGAGACCACATAGACAGTGCATTCCTGTACATAGTGCAAATGATAACAATCAGTAAATACAGTTCTGGAAAAAGGCATCCCAATACAAAGCATATCAAGCTTTTAAATATTTTAATATATTTCACAATTTATTCATTTTATTTACAAAAGACAGTGGTCATGTGACATAAAACCATGTTTTAAAAATTAACATTAGAAACAAATGTATACCAGAAGCATAACGGTACATAACAGAGATAGATAAATAACATTTAGGGAAGCTTGTGGTTTGTCATCTTGCACATTTTCTCTATGCAAAAAAAAATGATCACAAAGTGCTGTATGTACCCTTCTATTGCATCTGTTGGCTAGAAGGAGATAATTCTAGAACTCTTGATAGCTCTAGAATGGTTGGTAGCTCTAGAACAATTGTTAGCTCTAGAACAGTTGGTAGCTCTAGAACTGTTGATAGCTCTAGAACTTGTAACGATTCAACATTTTAATTAAGGAAGACCATGTAAATGTGGGTGGTCTCAAAATTTGGACATCAACAACAACAACATATAGAATGTAGATATATCTGTATGATGACACACAACGTCTGCAAACATTGACACAAATGTAAAGGCTGAATAAAAGTGTACTGCTTTCCCTCCTGAACAACAATACATAAATACACTTTTTCCACATTGTCACACACTGAGACTAAAACTCCTACTTAAAAGGCTGATTGATATTCTTATATCTGCATGAATGGATTTTACTTTATACAGCACTTTATACAGAACATCTAGGCACAAACTCAAATCATAACACTGCATTCCTATCTGTGACCGGAGTGAAGAGGGAATACAATTATTCACTTTTCAAAAGGTTCTCTCAGCACTTCAATTTTCCTTTAGATCTTGAATATACATTGTTGTATAGAAGAAACAAAAGTGTCAAACCCTCAGTGTATAAGACTTCATTTGTATTAGTTACTTCTATGTTTATATTTTACAATGTGGGGCTGTACTTTACAGTATATTGGTCACCGTTTCATATAATATACTCTCCTTAATAATTTAGGCAACTAACTGATGTGCAAGACAAGTGCTCACTCGATTGAGATGTGTTTCGATAAATCATTATCAATGATTAAATTCCACAAGCAAACTAGAATAACACCCAGAATGATAACATCATGTAAAATAAATAACCAAATAAAAACATCACATTTAGAACAACGGAAACACTTTTTGTTCTTTTATTTCTCGACACAGTGTAATAGGTTGATAAGACCTTGTACTTAGCTTATAGGATAGGCGGTCTGTACTGTACACATCATATCAATGCAAAATGTACAAACTCAGTACAGGTCATTGCTTAACCATTGTTTGGTATCATTGAATTATTATCATTCTGGTCCAATTATTATCATTCATATGTTATTATCATGTTATATCATGACAAACCAAACCAAACTGAACCAAACCCTACTCTTCTCTGTCTAGCCATTTATTGTTTCACATTGCTAAGCCTAACATGTATTATGAAGTTATTAATGTCAGTGATTGTTTTCAGAGATAAATGGAAATCTTGAACAACAGAAAGTTCCATCAACCAGAAGACGTGAGTGTTTTATTGGACCTGATATCCTCCTAATTCAAGTAAGTCAGTATCCTTTTCCAGTCCACCTCTGTCTCTAAGCCTGTAGCTACTATATAGCTTATCTTATGCCAAATCAGACAACAATTCACAAAAACAACATGCTCAGTCAAACATAGCACTTCAGCAATAGCCTCCTATTTCTCTCCTCTAAGTCATTCAACATTCTTAGTCAACACCAGACTTGCCGTCTGGTTAACCCCACTTGCCCTATGTCCCAATAATCCTTTCTCCTAAAGTGAGCACTAGTTCACTACCCTTCATGTACACTGAGCGCACAAAACATTCGGAACACCTGCTCTTTCCATGACATAGACTGACCAGGTGAACGCTACAATCCCTTATTAATGTCACCTGTTAAATCCACTTCAATCAGTGTAGATGAAGGGGAGGAGACAGGTTAAAGAAGGATTTGTAAGCCTTGAGACAACTGAGACATGGATTGTGTATGTGTGCCATTCAGATGGTGAATGATCAAGACAAAAAATGTAAGTGCCTTTGAATGGGGTATGGTAGTAGGTGCCAGGCGCACCGGTTTGAGTGTGTCAAGAACTGCACCGCTGCTGGGTTTTTCACGCTCAACAGTTTGCCGTGTGTATTAAGAATGGTCCACCACCCAAAGGACTTCCAGCCAACTTGACACAACTGTGGAAAGCATTGGAGTCAACATGGGCCAGCATCCCTGTGGAACGCTTTCGACCCCTTGTAGAGTCCATGGCCTGACAAATTGAGGCTGTTCTGAGGGCAAAAGGGGTGGGGGTGCGACTCAATATTAGGAAAGTGTTCCTAATGCTTTGTACACTCAGAGTATTTAAAAGGAATGAACCGATAGAATAAATATGGTGGAAATTCTACTTTAGTTTATGCTCACACCAATTTAATGCTTTTGAATGTGTGGGGAAGAGTGCATGAGTGCACATTTTGGGAGAAAGACAGATTATTGAGACGCAGGGTTGCTGTCTGCTCCCTCCAGGCTCTTTTATGATCACAGTCTCTGACCTCTGACCCCTACAGACACAGGTCTGGAGCCCATTAGGGCCTAGGCTACTGACTCCTAAGAGTTAACCACACAGAGGATGCTTCCCAAATGGCATCCTATTCCCTATATAGTGCACTACCTTTGACCAGGGCTCATAGGGCTAATGGGCCCTGGTCAAAAGTAGTGCACTATGTAGGGAATAGGATGCCATTTGGGATGCAACCACCCGCCACCACATTCCATCTACGTCTACAGTCCCTGAGCACCTATCTATTAACTCTCACATAAACATGTTCCAGTCCTCGTTTCTTTTAACTAAATAAAGCTATCAAAGAAACGTTTCAGTGCATAACTTTTATTTCTGTACCGCCTGTCCTCACCTACGTACAGCTGTATAGGTGGATATGTTGTAACTCAACATATTTGAACGAAAGAGCACACAATATAATCATATTCTTTTAAACTAACGTCCTGAGGTGCTCTCCCTCGCTTTACTTTACGTGGACAATAAATACTGTTACTACTAAGTGACTAGTTAGTGGATTAGGGACGAGGAACCATGCAGTTTTAAATGCTCTTTAAGATGCATTTACTAGCTTCTCTCACTTAGTTAATTTTTTATAGAGACAAAACAAGGACAATAATACATCTGTTTCTAACAAAGGGACGTTTCCCTGATTAAATGAAACATTTAGCATTGACAACAATAGCCCCCATACTAGGTTCCCTTTAACCAAACAAACAAACAGCCCTCATATTTTTGCAAGGGTGTCTCACGACAGTGAGCACACAGTAGCAGCAGTATGTGACTCAAAGGCTGTGTCCTAAATGACACCCTACTCTCTATATAGTGTACTACTTTTGACCAAAGCCCTATAAGCCTTGGTCAAATGTAGTGCACTGTATAGGGAATAGGGTGCCATTTGGGACGCGACCAATGTGAATTCTGAGGCATGACAACATACAGGACTACAGATCCCAGCAGTCATTAGAACCAAGCGTTTCTCAACCTTTTTTTGTACCAGGGAACTGCAAGGCCCAGCTACGGTCCTTCCTCCTTTGAAGACCACTTCTATTAAAACTAGCATTTGAGAACTGACTATATCAGTTTCAGCTCACTATCTGAGGGACCGATCAACAACATCACAGGGACCAGTGCTGGCCTGCGGACCACAGGTTGAGAAACACTGATAAACCCACAAAGAGCTGGCATAATATCGTACCTACCTACCTACCTACCTACCTACCTACCTACCTACCTACAGTACACCCAGTCAGACTCAGGACAGTGCAACATCATGCAAAACCCCTAATAAAAACATACTAGCTAGCGGTCTCTAATCATACAAAAGCAATGAAGGCTAGGGAACATATCATCATCATGAAAATAGGTTGCTTTCAGTGCTGTGTTCCCAAGGTCATGTATAATGTGTACAGTATATACAGATAGATAGGGAGCATTCCAAATGGCACTCTATTCCCTATGTAGTGCACTACTTTTGCCCAGGGCCTATAGGGCTCTGGTCAAAAGTCCTGCGCGATATAGGGAATAGGGTGCCATTTGGGATTGAAACAGAATGGTCTGTTATTGACAAGACAGGTTGAGAGAAAGCACAGCTAGCCATTCCTTAGAGCTTTGACCATTGCAGTCATGATGAGGGGAATCAATCAATACATAATAATTACAGCTTTAAGTTTTTATACAGAACAACATATACACTCGCTAATAGACACATCTTGCTTTTTTTTCCGCAGCAAGGTGTAATAAACATGTTTGATAGTAGTTCACATAGTGAAATCCTGTTTGATAACAGCATGCATTACTCTACGTGCTTATGCCTGATAGAAGGGTTTGGTTGGTGTGACTGATTCTCATTTGGATTCTTCTTTTCCAGTCAAGTCCAGTCTGACATCCGGTATAGATGGAGTGGTTGTTGCTCCCTCGATGATGCTTTACTTCTCTCACTGTGCCTGAAGACACACAGACAGACAGGGAAGAAGGATAGGTTTTAGACTGGGGCACAAAATAACCATAAAGATAACTATTCACAGAGGAAGTTTGGATTTCGACTGAAAAAGTTCCTCTGATCTCTGTTTTGTTCATAGGTCCTTGGCAGATTTGTTATATTACAATATGAATTACTAATGAATTACTATGGGATGATATTATACGGACAATATCACAGATATCAGAATATTCATACATACTTTTTCCACTCCTTTCATTCTGCCTCGGCTGGAAAACAGTGAGAAATGATCCGTTATTTGCAGTAACATAAAAGTCTAATACATACGATTACCACAAATAATGACCTGCTTCCTTTTGGAATGGAGAATTACAATTAGAATACTAGAATGATGTTTCAAAGGAATGACGTTTCAAAATCTCAAACAGCTTGATACAGGAACTAAGCAATGTTAATAACATAATACTGAGCCAAGACTTATTCACCCCTGTCCCTTAGGCCTCCGTTCCTCATGTTGTTGTCCTCTTCCTCTGCAGCATCATCTACTTTATGACAGAGACCCAAATAATTCAGAGATGATATCTTCAGTCCCAGAGTTATAAAACAAACACAGGCAACCAGGAAGTCATGTGCCTTTCAACTAACCTGAGTGGAGTTCTTTGACGAGTGAAGACATTGTGTTTGTGATTGAATCTGCAGCGACCAATAGATCATTACGAAGATTTCTAGGTACACCTGAAAGACAGAGGACACAGTCAATGATAGAAGTAAGTGATTTACATGGCATTTAGTGGCTAGTATTTTTTAGACATGGTAAAAAAAAAAAAAACATACTTTCATCAAATTTGGCACAGCTCAAACACAGGTCAAACTGTTGTGTTCTCCTTGACACAAACAAGGCAAGGATAACTAACAACAGACAGGCACTGGGTCACATTGGATCTAAAGGAGGACATAGTCCGGCGGGGAAAACAGGTTGAAATGATGTCATGATGCCTTTTCAACCAGAAACTGATGTCATTTCAACCAGTTTCGCCCGCTAGGTGGAGGTCCAGGACTCACCCTGAGCGAAGGCCTCCAGCACGTCCCCCCCCACCCCGGCCAGGCAGTCCTGGGGTGTGTGGGTGGGGGTGGACCCAGCTGAGGTGGAGCGGATGGGCATGGGCATGGAGCAGCCTGCCCCGTGGCTGGGGGAGGAGTGGGGTGAGCCTCCTGTCTGTGCCTGATAACATAACATACCAACACCACCATGGGTTAGGATCCAAATACTATAGAAATATACCAACACCACCATGGGTTAGGATCCAAATACTATAGAAATATACCAACACCACCATGGGTTAGGATCCAAATACTATAGAAACATACCAACACCACCATGGGTTAGGATCCAAATACTATAGAAACATACCAACATCACCATGGGTTAGGATCCAAATACTATAGAAATATACCAACACCACCATGGGTTAGGATCCAAATACTATAGAAATATACCAACACCACCATGGGTTAGGATCCAAATACTATAGAAACATACCAACATCACCATGGGTTAGGATCCAAATACTATAGAAATATACCAACACCACCATGGGTTAGGATCCAAATACTATAGAAACATCCCAACATCACCATGGGTTAGGATCCAAATACTATAGAAATATACCAACATCACCATGGGTTAGGATCCAAATACTATAGAAATATACCAACATCACCATGGGTTAGGATCCAAATACTATAGAAACATACCAACATCACCATGGGTTAGGATCCAAATACTATAGAAACATACCAACACCACCATGGGTTAGGATCCAAATACTATAGAAACATCCCAACATCACCATGGGTTAGGATCCAAATACTATAGAAATATACCAACACCACCATGGGTTAGGATCCAAATACTATAGAAATATACCAACACCACCATGGGTTAGGATCCAAATACTATAGAAATATACCAACACCACCATGGGTTAGGATCCAAATACTATAGAAACATCCCAACACCACCATGGGTAGGGTTAGGATTAGAGGAGGCCTAGACCACCACTTATTGTCTTTGCTAAGAAAACACACATATGCACACACACACCTACACCCCCCATGACACACACACACACCTACACCCCCCACGACACACACACACACCTCTACACCCCCCCGACACACACACACACCTACACCCCCCCCGACCCACACACACCTAAACATATACTCCCTGTCTATTACAGCACCTTTACTGCTCTGAAAGCTAATGAGAACCATGTGTGAGCCTGCCTGTCTTCCTGCAGGGGCTAAAGAGGGGCCTGTAATGTGCCGCCTGGGTACTATGTTGCCTGGAGAAAGGGGCACTGTGTCCTTCCTAGGGTGGGGAGGAGGTAAGGAGGGGAGAGGAGAGGGTTGGTGCAGGGCCCTTGGCCAGACCTGGGTTCAAACACTATTTGAATCATTTCAAATACTTTATCTGTGCTTGATTGAGCCTGCCTAGCTTAAAATGGACGAATAGGATAGTCCCAAAACTACAAACCCCGCCACAACTGGCACTCCAGGCAGGCTAGAGAAAATACAGAGGTATTGGAAAGATTTCGAGTACTGTTTACTTTGAACCCAGGTCTGGCCGGGTCCAGGACTGTATGGCTCAGAGCCAGGCAGCAGATGGTTAGCCAGACTGCAGTCACATTAGAGGGAAGGTTGTTCGTTTTGATGAAAGGAACAGGTCTCAGACGTTTGTTTGGCAAAGAAAGGAATACATGGTGGAGTTCTCACCAAATAACCTAGCACACTAAAGGACTTTACCTCAGTCTAGAATTGACTGTATGATATCTCATGAAGCAACATATAACCTAGATATAAAATTGTAACTTAGTGTAGATTAGAATGTATGTTCTCTCATATAGAAATGACCAAAAAGGTAACAGTAGACTATAATATGTAAGGGATAATCAACGAGGGGCTATGTGTTCTATGGAGAATTATGAACGAAGTGGAAGGTGATTTCCATGACATGCTAGTGGAGTGAAACTAACCTTCCACGGAGTTGCATGTTTTGCCAGAGAACGCATAGAGCCCCGAGTCGATTATCCCTTTTATACTATGACTATAATTTAACACATTTGCTGCTAGAAATGTGTGTATTTGCAGGTCAAAATGTGTTCAACATCCACTGAAGTAGCTAGCAAGTTTACTAGATAGCTACAGTAGTTGCCTTGGTAACCAAACAAACAGACTTGCCTTAATCAATGCCAATAATGTTTTCATTTCAACTTTTGCTTTCAAAAGCATCTGAAACATAGAACATGTAAGAATGAACTATAGCCATTGAATTCTACCGTGCTGATATACCGAGCGTTATAGGGATTATACAACGGGTGGGTCTAACCCTGAATGCTGATTGGTTAAAAGCGCATTCCAGCCTGTGTCTATTCCACAAGTTACCACCGGCTAAATCTATGACGTTAAAATGCCTATTTACTCTGTTCCATCTGACTGCGCAATCCACTGTCTCATCAGCCCAGCCAGGCAATTTATAAGCTTGATCTCCACTATAAAAAGCATCTAGACATTCTCACATTTCTTTTACATTTTGGTCATTTAGCAGACGCTCTTATCCAGAGCGACTTACAGTTAGTGAGTGCATACATTTTCATACTGGCCCCCCGTGGGAAACAAACCCACAACCCTGGCATTGCAAGCGCCATGCTCTACCAACTGAGCTACAGGGGACTAACATTTCGTTTTCAACAGCGGAGATTTGTATAAACCTTGCTGTCTGTCTCTCTGACATTAGCTCATTGTTATGGATGTATCCAAATAAATGTCACTAGAAAACAGCTTAAACAAATGCAAATGCAGCTACTGTTGTTATTCTTTTTGATGTTTGACGTGACTAAGTTAGCCGTAGTTGGCTAGTTAGCAAGCAAGGGATAAGAACTTTGCCAGCCAGTATGGCAACCGAACCAATAGAACGAACGACCACCCAGCTTGGGTAGCAACCCTAGATTTGTGTCGGGACTATATCTTGTGGAAGGATGAAATAATATGAATAAATTCATAAAAATAATGTTTTTAATGAAAATATGTCAATCATTATTTGAATATGTTGGTAACCAGATGCATAAAAGTGAGAATGCCCGATAAGCCAGTGTTTGGTGGATACAGTGGGGAAAAAAAGTATTTAGTCAGCCACCAATTGTGCAAGTTCTCCCACTTAAAAAGATGAGAGAGGCCTGTAATTTTCATCATAGGTACACGTCAACTATGACAGACAAATTGAGAATTTTTTTTCCAGAAAATCACATTGTAGGATTTTTAATGAATTTATTTGCAAATTATGGTGGAAAATAAGTATTTGGTCACCTACAAACAAGCAAGATTTCTGGCTCTCACAGACCTGTAACTTTTCTTTAAGAGGCTCCTCTGTCCTCCACTCGTTACCTGTATTAATGGCACCTGTTTGAACTTGTTATCAGTATAAAAGACACCTGTCCACAACCTCAAACAGTCACACTCCAAACTCCACTATGGCCAAGACCAAAGAGCTGTCAAAGGACACCAGAAACACAATTGTAGACCTGCACCAGGCTGGGAAGACTGAATCTGCAATAGGTAAGCAGCTTGGTTTGAAGAAATCAACTGTGGGAGCAATTATTAGGAAATGGAAGACATACAAGACCACTGATAATCTCCCTCGATCTGGGCAAGATCTCACCCTGTGGGGTCAAAATGATCACAAGAACGGTGAGCAAAAATCCCAGAACCACACGGGGGGACCTAGTGAATGACCTGCAGAGAGCTGGGACCAAAGTAACAAAGCCTACCATCAGTAACACACTACGCCGCCAGGGACTCAAATCCTGCAGTGCCAGACGTGTCCCCCTGCTTAAGCCAGTACATGTCCAGGCCCATCTGAAGTTTGCTAGACTGCATTTGGATGATCCAGAAGAGGATTGGGAGAATGTCATATGGTCAGATGAAACCAAAATAGAACTTTTTGGTAAAAACTAAACTTGCCGTGTTTGGAGGACAAAGAATGCTGAGTTGCATCCAAAGAACACCATACCTACTGTGAAGCATGGGGGTGGAAACATCATGCTTTGGGGCTGTTTTTCTGCAAAGGGACCAGGACGACTGATCCGTGTAAAGGAAAGAATGAATGGGGCCATGTATCGTGAGATTTTGAGTGAAAACCTCCTTCCATCAGCAAGGGCATTGAAGATGAAACGTGGCTGGGTCTTTCAGCATGACAATGATCCCAAACACACCGCCCGGGCAACGAAGGAGTGGCTTCGTAAGAAGCATTTCAAGGTCCTGGAGTGGCCTAGCCAGTCTTCAGATCTCAACCACATAGAAAATCTTTGGAGGGAGTTGAAAGTCCGTGTTGCCCAGCGACAGCCCCAAAACATCACTGCTCTAGAGGAGATCTGCATGGAGGAATGGGCCAAAATACCAGCAACAGTGTGTGAAAACCTTGTGAAGACTTACAGAAAACGTTTGACCTGTGTCATTGCCAACAAAGGGTATATAACAAAGTATTGAGAAACTTTTGTTATTGACCAAATACTTATTTTCCACCATAATTTGCAAATAAATTCATTAAAAATCCTACAATGTGATTTTCTGGAGAAAAAAAATCTCAATTTGTCTGTCATAGTTGATGTGTACCTATGATGAAAATTACAGGCCTCTCTCATCTTTTTAAGTGGGAGAACTTGCACAATTGGTGGCTGACTAAATACTTTTTTCCCCCACTGTATATTGGCACAGTTTGCTTCGTCCCGGGCCTAACACCCGTGCCAACATATCCTCCAAACACTGGCTTATCGGGCATTATCACTTAAATAATGCACGCTCTAGAATGCCCTTCAAGCCAATCAGAAACAAGTATTCAACAATGCCATGGTATAATTAAGCAATAAGGCCTGAGGGGGTGTAGTATATGGCCAATATACCACGGCTAAGGGCTGTTCTTACGCAACGTGGAGTGCCTGGATACAGCCCTTAGCCGTGGTATATTGGCCATACACCACAAACCCCCGAGGTGCCTTATTGCTATTATAAACTGGTTACCAATGTAATTAGTGCAGTAAAAAGAAATGTTTTGTCATACCCGTTGTATACGGTCTGATATACCACGGCTGTCAGCCAAATCAGGGCTCGAACCACCCAGTTTATAATGTAGTCTAGTGTATGGTTTACTGTACATATGTAAAAAAACAAATATGCTACTCTAAGTTCCTTGAAACACGATCTGTCTGAGACAGACATGCATTAAGTTTGGAGAGTAGTATGAAACATAATACTATGGTGGCTGAATGAGTGGGTCTGCTACTGTATTGCTCTATTAGTGTATTAATGTATAGTTAACTGAATATAGAGACACTTACTGCCTGCTTCTGCTCCTCATCCTATCAGCCAGCCAATGGTAAGCAGTGATATAAAGCATGAGCAGTGAGGGAGAGGAAAGAAGTGAGATGGAGATAAAGAGAGAGAGAGGAAGAAAAATATAGAAAGAAAGAAAGACAGATGGTGGCAAAGGCAAAGAGTCAGGAGCTTCAATATCAGGACAGAACAGACAGGTTTATACGTGTAAGGTCCTTTCAAGGTAACCAATGGACCCTGAGGCAGACTACTGTCAGCTACAATCAATGCAGCGTCTAACACGTTCTAAATGGTTGTATAAAATATAAAACAAATTCACGGTTGATGTTAACGAATACCTGATGACATGAAAAGCAATAATGATAGATGTTGATACGGATATACAACTAACAAATAGTACAGCGTTAGTATATAAAAGTCAGAATAACAACAAACAGATAGTGATATAGTGTATCAGATAGTGTATAATACTCCGTAGTCATAGTCCTCTCCTACCTTGAGTAGCCTCATCAGTCCCTCTAGCTGGACCATCAGTTCACGTCTGCTCTCCTGTAGGGCCGACATGCGCCTCTCCAGCTCATCCTTCCTGTGTCTGTTGTCCCCCAATTACACACAAACAACACCTGGCTGTCAGTCCCTATTGCCTCCTGAAAGGTGAAAGCCTGTCAGTCCCCACACTCTTCTGTCAGGTGGCGTCGTGCTGATGTAAGACAGTGGTTTTCAAACCTCTTCTCTGGGACCGTCAGATGTTTCACAATTACCTCAGTCTACCTCAGTTGATGATTAATAGATGATTGGAATCAGGTGTGATAGCTCTGAAATAGTTCAAATACATTGAATGGCTGGGGGTCCCAGAGGAGCGGTTTTGAAAACCACTGATGTAAAACATTAGTCAGTCTTTTGTTTATCTGTCCCTTTCCCAACATCCCAAAGACAACATGCTCACAGACAGTCCCTTCTTTGAGCCTGCTGGTTACACTCCAGCGTAACAGAAAGAGACAACTGAACACACTACTGGCTCAATCCCTTTTTATGTGATGATAATCCAATTGAACCATTGGCGTCTGAACACCCTCTGGTGGTCAAATGTGGTAATTATCTTCATTCACATTATGAGCTCAAAACGTTGTTGAGGACTGAATACACTGTCCTGTCCATCTATCTGCCTATTCAAAAATTCAACCATCTGCTTCCTGGCTGTCTTTCTTCTCCTCTCTACCTCAGGGCTATAGGCCATAATAAAGACAGATATCTAACACACACATAGGCCACTGGCTGTTAGTGCTGTTATAGGTCATGCTGTGTTTACTGAGGAATTAAGGCATACTTTACTTTATTAAGGCATATCAATTAGTAATAAAGAGTTAATAAAGGCGTAGTTATGACTTTAGAGTGTATAGATATGTGATGAGCAGTTATAACATTGATTATAGAGGATATAGATATTAATGATATAGAAGGATATAGATAAGATATATGTGGGTAATAGATCTAGGTGGATATGTGGTACCTAAGGAGCCTGAGTTCGGCCAGCAGTGTGGGGTTTTGCTGGGCCTTCTCGGGGGTGGGCTGGGAGGCCTGCTCATGCTCCAGACGCAGCCGCTGGATCTCCTGAAGGATCTCTCTGAGGGACCAGAAGACACAACAAAATGGAGATTTAAAATCTGCCGATGACGTTTTGAAAGCAGGTTCTGGTGACCAAGATAGATTTCAGTTTATTTACTTATATTTCACAAAATTCTTAAGTTATGAGCATACAATACATCTAATGACTGATTTAACTAAATTACCTGATAAAGTCACTGTCCAGTGTTTCCAGATTTCTATGAAATATGACCTATAATTCATTACAATATGAGTGAAATAGTTTTCCTTCCAATTTTTTATTGATTAAGTATGTTAAAAAGCAGCTTTTCTGTGTTGGAATGGTGTGGGCGTACCCCAACAACAGAATGGTCATTAAAAATATTAATGCGAGTAGACAGCTGATTGGCCAGCTCAGCCAATGAGCCAATATCTCATCATGTTCTATGAGGAAATAGCAAGCATTTTTGAGTTTGAGGTGGGGTTTTGGAAGTGTTTTTTCTCAAATTTATGCTTTGGCCACAGATACGAGTATAGGATGAGTCAACTACATTATTTGGGTATGAATTAATAGAATATTAACTTTTAAAAGTGAAATTTTCACCGGACAGTTCCTTTAAGTAGTGATTTTTTGATTATTTTCATGTTTATTCATAAAGTGACAATCAAATACATTCCCACCTGTTCTTGTTCTCTAGTTCTGCTATTAGCTGCCTCTGTTGTTTGTTGGCATCAAAGTTGAAACTCAGATCTGTTGGAGGACATTGCTGAAAGACAAAATTACCATTAAACACAGAATTAATAAAACTGAGTGGATAAAAGAGAGAGTAACACATCAAACATGATCTATTGCCCAGAATTAAAAGTCATGCGTGCTGTGCTTTAGATGTTTGAATGACTATTCTAACATCAGGGACCTTTTCAGCCAACCTGCAACTTAATTTCATCTAATTTTGATCGACGGACTACACTGTGGGTAATGATTGTGTTAGTCTCTGGTGACAGCCTTAACATTATCTGATTTGATTCTCGGTGCAGAGATCATTATTATCTCTTTATGGACATTCTGCAGTTACACAAAGTGTTACATAATAAGAAGAGGCTAAATGCAGGCTGACAGAATACCACCCTGGGGTTGCCCTACTAGTCACATACACACTACTCACTGTGGAGCTACTCACTGTGGAGTTGCCTGCCTCTGCTGCCAGGCGTGCTGCGTAGCGAGCAATCAGACGATGCTCCTCGTCTAGCCTACTGGGACTCTCCAAGACACTGGCGAGAGAGAGAGAGAGGAAGGGGGGCGAGAGGGAGAGTGGGGTCACAGCCAGCCATTATCAACGGCAACCCTGGAGCAATGAAGTTAAATGCCTTGCTCAAGGGCACTTCGCCATATTTGTTATCGTGTCAGCTCAGGGATTTGAACTAGCAACCTTTCGGTTACTGGCCACCGCTCTAACCGCCGCCCATATAACTTATGCCATCCCTGTGGTCTTATCATTAATAACTTCTGTGAAAAAGCGCTCTCTCTCTCTCCCTCTCTCCCTCCCTCTCTCCCCTCCCTCCCTCCCTCCCCTCCTCTCTCCTCCCCTCCCTCCCTCTCTCCCTCCCCCCTCTCCTCCCCCCCTCCCTCCCCCCCCCCCTCCCTCTCTTGTTTCTTGCTCGTCTCTCATCCCGTAACTGTTCAGCTACTGTTTGTCTATCCCACATACTTCCACTCTCTGGGTTGTTGGCCACATGTGACTTTCAATCCAGGAACCGGTAGAAGTCTGTGTGTAGTCTAGAACACTTGGTTTTCTATACCCCGTCTTACCACTGTTCTGGAGGGGCAGTTTAAGGGAATACATGTGTCACAATCATGTTGGCATCGAGAAAGATGACCCCACTGGGTCAGTCAGAGTTGGGCTGTTAGCTGTTCCTCTCCATTAATCTACAAGACCACTACGACCAGGTCGTGTCTTAGTGCCTCTCCTTCAGAGACAGAGTTTCCTGGCACTAGTCAATAGCCTGGTCCCAGATCTGTTTGTGCTGTACAGCCAACTCCTATGGTCACAGACAACCTTGTCTTCTAGCCTGGCCCCAGATCTGTTTGTGTTGGTTGTTTTCATGGCCTGGTCCCAAATCCACTTTGCTGTCCTGCCAACTTCTATGTCATTTTCATGCTAACTTGGCATGACAATGACCATAGGAGTTGGCAAGACGGCACATATACTGTAGATCTGGGAGAAGGCTTGCAGACAAGACTGTGTGTAAACGGCTTGTTGATCCTCTGTGAGCAGCCGGTCACCAATGCCCTTCTGTCTGTACTAGGTTCAAATGAGCTTATGCCATTTGACGCACAACATGCTCAAATACTGTATAATGTAGCGGATTCTGTGCTGCTTTGAGTCTCAGCATACACATTTCCCATTCAAATTGGACAATAAAATAGTTTGTTGTTGTTAGGTCCTACCGCAAAATAACACAACTGCTCATATCCACACATAATCTGTTTATCAACACAATCACATGGCTATGTTAATCACAGGGCTATCCCTCCCTCCCATTCCTCCCTCCCTCAGTCTCTCTAACATATGCCTATGTTCTTGTTATTACAATGTAATCAATGTAACATTTCATGAAGTATTTCAGTGGGGAAATACTGTGAGTTACTGTTCTCGTCTTGGGCATGATGGCAACAATATTGACACCTCTCGTTATTAACATTCAGTCTGCCAACCAGTTCAGTCTGTGATTTCATATCTGGTGGCGTTTCGGTCAATAGTCAGTTAACTCCAAATTAAAACTCATCGAACTCTCCAACAGCAAATTATTTGTATTTTCTGGCGCTGTGGTTCTGCACGAGTATTAGGTCATAAATTGTGGGGTGTTGATTGGTCGGTGGGTTGGTCCTTGGAAGAGCAGCGCTGAGCAATCTGTTTGAGAGAGGCTGGAGGAGGGAAAATATGCTTTGTCAGCAGACAGAGGACCAGACAGGTTTCGGTGCAAGACTGGGATAGAAGGTTGGGCCTCCACAAACATAATCTACAATAATACCCATTCTTGATGGAAATGTCAGAGATTTTTTTATTGTAAGCTTAGTCCATCATAGGGTTGCACAATTCTGGGAACTTTCAATAAATTCCATGGTTTTCCAGAAATCCTGGTTGGAGGATTCCAGATTTCCTGCTTATTCCCTCCTGATTCCAGGAATCCTCCAACCAGGATTTCAGGAAAACCATGGAATTTATTGAAAGTTCACAGAATTTTGCAACCCTATGATGGACTAGGCTTACAATAAAAACATCTCTGAATAAAAGAAAAAAGATAAGATCGCCTCATCAACTGGAATCCGGAATAAAAAAAATACTACACTGTATAATTTGGGACATAAAACAGTGGTTGATACTCTAGGTACTGTTTTAATCATGCTATTGTTAATGCGAGAGCTGTGGTGAGTAAGATCTCCAATGTATTTATTATAACATATGGCAAATAAACGTAAAGCTCTTTTGGTGCATTCAGCTAAGCACCAGTGAGCTAAAGCAGAGTCCTATTATTCAGCTGTAGTGACATCTCTGACATCCAGGCCCTTCACATCAGAAGAAGCCAAGCAGAACACAGTAATAATTACATGGATTCATATTTAAAAACCAAATGTGACAGTATGTCAGCTCACACAGTCAGACGCCAGGCTAGAAGGATCTGGGAGGGAATAGGCTGGCTTGCTGCTTCGCAAACAAGACCTTAGCATGCACACACACACCTTTCCTCTGCCTGCTTCTGATCTGATAATGCGAGAGAAAACTCTCTACCTTAACCATCTCTTTGCATCCACATTGACACTTAACTCTTGAACAATCTGGAACCAATTTAGCCTAAACATCAGAATGGATTTCTCTGTTCTGTTGATATGCAGCTTCTGGCAATATAGTGTGTGAGTGCGTGCGTGCGTATGCGTATGACCTCCTAGAGGAGAATGTGTTCTGAATCCTGCCTCTCAATCGCCCGGAGCTGCTGCCAAGGCCTGATTACATCGCAGTACTGCACACACACACGATCATACACACTCATCTCTTCTACTTCTAATGACATAGCGAACGCTATCGAACCCATGTGTACATGTCACTTCAATCAAGAGTTTATCATTAGGGCTACTAAAGTAGCTAACAAATAATGAGTTTTCTCAGGAATGATTCAAAGGGGAAGACGGGGACGGACTTGGTAACATCTTTAAGGGCGCAGGACATAAGGGGCTGGAAGCAGTCGGTCAACAATGGCCTATGTTCTGCAAGGAATTCAGGAAATACGTTAGGTATGATAGGTATAGGGCCATAACAAAGCTCATTCTGAGGAACTTACCTTTTAGTAGGAGTAGGTGCCCCAGACGACATGAGCATTGTGTTGTTCATATTGTTGGCCACTGGCTTCGGCTGACTACAGTAAAACACAAGATTATACCACTTTATTGCTACACTGTGAAATAGACTTATACACTGACTATGGGGTGGGAGAGAGGACATTTGCATTACATTACTGTAGGAATCATGAATATGCAATGGTGACTGTAAGCAATCACCATACAAAACTACTGTACAGTATGTAGAAAAAATGCCACAGTAAAACAAGATTACAGGACTTTATTGCTACACTGTAGGAGAAATATACTTCATATACTTATACTATTATACACTAGGGAGATCTGAGGATTCTGTCACTACAGGGGAGGAGAGAGGGCATTTGCATAAAAATGTAAATTACGGTAAGATTCATGAATAAGCAATCATGACTGTAGACTACAATCAATGGATGCAACCTTTCGTGTTTAAGGATTATCATTATCATATAGGGAACAACTGTACTGTATGTAGAAGATTGTGCTGTACAGTATATGGGAGTTAATTTGTCATGTTTGTATAAAGAATAATAGATTTGGCATTTTGATTAGCTTAAAACTAATTAAAACCGAACAAGAGGCACAAAAGCAGACAAGGAATCTAATTAAACTCGAAGTCTGTGGTTGGTGAGGAACTGGGAAAGGTGACATTGCACTACAGAAGGTAATTTGGGAGAGTAAATAATGACTATTAAGTCCATCTGGCTTTCATATCAGCACCGCGGTCCTGTGCTAGCTGGCTGGCTGGCTGGGGCTCAATCTGTTTGGCTAGCTTCTCCAGACTCATTGGCTCACTCTGGGTGCGTCTGAAATGGCATCATATTCACTTTAACACCTTTAACCAGGGCCCAAAGTAGTCTACTATATAGGGAATAGGGTGCCATTTCAGACGCAGACTCTGCTGCTTGGACCAGAAAACTCTTTAAACATGATCAAAACCTCTGCATATTTCAGATGTTTCAAGTTCACACTCCAGGGCAGCAGGTAGCCTAGTGGTTAAGAGCGTTGAGCCAGTCACCGAAAGGTCGTTTGTTTGAATCCCTGAGCTGACTAGGTGAAACATCTTTTGATGTGCCCTTGAGCAAGGCACTACCCTAATTGCTCCTGTAAGTCGCTCTGGATAAGAGCTAAGATGTAGTCCCATGTATGGAGAAATAACCGTTGTAAATTAGTGTTGGTCTGTTTCTCTCCTGATCTGTCTTTCTCTCTTTCCATGTATGGAAGAAAAACTGTTGCAAAGTAATCTCGATCTCTCATGCATTCTTCCTAAAGTACTGTAGTGTAGCCTATCTCACTTCACACTCCCATGCATACAATTGGTCAAAAAAGAACATTGTATGGTTACTCTCACTATTTCTATCTCTCATCCATTATCTCTAGACCTCTCTTTGTAGCTTAGCCATTAATCAGCTACAAGCCTCCAACAATTTAAACAGCCATGAGTACTGAGAAGTATTTAGCATACGTTTCTCCAAAATATGTTCAAAGAATGTTTGACCTTCATGGAAGTGAACCATTTCTATAAATAAGACGTTATATTATATAGAGGAGTCTCCATAACAGTAAGTGTCAGGGAAGTAATACTAGTATGTTTGCACAGACATTTCACTGTTCTGTAAACTGATCATTAGTTTGTGTACTCACATGACAGTACACAAATGAACGGGACGGAAAACAAGTGTTATCTCCTCTCTATGAACGCAAGGGAATAACCATTATACTGAATCAGTATTCATCATATTTGTATCAATATTTCTCATAATAAAGCAACTGAATTCATTATTCAATCACAGTACTACTCATGAGTATGACCTCAGGGGGTCAGCAGTGTATTTGCATTACTATGAAGATCCAATATTAGATTTCCCCAGAGTCAAGCTAATACCTTCAAAG